TGAGCGGGAATGGGATAACTCGGGTTGTTGGGTTCGTCGCGCGGCGCGCCAACCACTGCACCACCGCTCCCCCATGTGTTACACTGTGCACACCAACACAGCGTCGGGGGTGGTTGAATGGCACAAGTGTGGAACAGCTGTACACCTCTGTCACAAACCAATAAACGTGGGCCATGTTGATTAAAACCTGCTCCCGAAAGCTGTCGAAATGAATCCCCTCGTTAACAGTGGCTGGGGTGACTTTAACTTGGGCCGTTAGCATTTCCACAGTTTATAAGACGGGGAAATATATTTCACCCCGAGCCATTTAGAAGCCGTTACACAGCATCATAGCCTGCCCTTTAGAGACCTTGAAGACTTTAAATATAGTATTTAAAGTTTAGAGCTTTCAGTACACATACCTCGAGGGTATTTTCTTAAGACCTTCACCAGAGGAATGTGGAAATCCCACCATTGTCCATTGATCGGTGCGAAATAAGTTCAACATAAACGCATCAACTATGCGAATCAGCATATTCATATGAGCACGACTATCCTTTTGAATGCCATAGTGAGTAGTTACAGGCAGCAGCTTTTGTTTGGGGCGATGATATGGCCCCGAGTAGTAACGCGATCGCGACTCATTGTTGCAGAGGTTCACGGTTCTAATTCAACGGCCTTCCCGGTTATTGCTGCGGCTGTGTAATAGCAGCTGGCAATGGTGTGCCTGAGTCACATTCGAATATTCCCCCGCAAATTACTCAATGTGGAATTATGCTGCCGGTAGACTAATTAATGCCTTGGGTCACTCTTGCAAATGAGACTATTCTGGTCTCTCGAGTTCTCATTTGGTTCAGCTAAAATGTACTTGAAACTGTTTTCTCTCTGTCAGCGGGAGCATCACACTCAACGAGAGGCAAACGACTTTTCTCTGACGAAGGAGATCCGATCCGATTCAGTATCTTTAAGCGTTTAGCATGAGACGTCACGCACTTCACAGGGTTAGGTTCAGCCTAAGTGAAAGTAATCAACCTCCTGGCAATAATTTGTGTGGGCCATAATTTTAAAATGTTCACCACAATTGAAACATTTCGATTTTTGAATCTTTATAGTTACGTGTATTATACACGCGACTATAGTTGTGCCAAATTTCAGTTTGCTGGCCCTTCACGAACGTTATTAGAATTTACATCACTCAGTCATAACCATCCATTTGTATGAGCGCCAGTTTTATGTGAAGCACCACATGTCTGGTTTCTGTACTGAGACTACATCAGCAGTTTATTTTTTAAAGTCATAGTTGATGAGCACAGGCCCAAAATGACAAGGGGCCAGCAACAAACAGCACCGTTAAAGTTGTACTAGATTAGAGTAAACACGGTTATCGATTGAGCAAGGTTATTTTCAAGAAATTCAACTAAAACTACGAAACAATTTTTATTTTACCAGGTAAGGCCCCCTGCGCTTCATAGCTCTTTTTCAGAAGCGACCTGGCCACAAATAATAGCTCAACGAAATGGCTTATCATGTAGACATTTATAGCAGCCAAATACTCTAAAAGTACGTTTCTAAATGTGGTGGGAAAAACCAGAGGACCTGGAGAACAATCCACACAACCATCGGGAGAGAGACAGATGGAAACTCCAAATATACAGCACGTGCCAGGGTCGCGATTGAACCCACGACCTCCTGTATACCAGGCGAGGTAGTTAACATTCTTACCACCGCGGCAACCTTGGGAAAGAGACGGTGGATGGGAAATGCAAGGTCGAGCAGTGGGAAGGAAGAAGCAGTGACGTCTTCGTTGTAATGTGCCGTGGTGGTGGTGGATGAACCCAGCGACGTGGATGAGACGACTCAGTCGGGTAGATCGAGGCCCTCAACATGGGTGGGGGACTCAATGAGTGAAGTTCACGGGAACAGGAGCCAGGCTGCTAGTAGTAGCGATAGAAGAGCGATACGGAGGGGACTGACCACCGGTGGGTGGGCGACTGCAGTGACTTTGTGAGTGCTATGAACTGAAAATCGCGTACAATGCATGTCACAAGTCAGTGCCCTTAGCCAATTACGTCAATTCCATATTCGCATGACAGGAACCATTCTCACCATATGACAACCGCTGCTGACTTCTCGCCAAGTGATTCTCTCTTATGAGACAGTGATCGCTTTATCAGCCCTCCAGGTGATAACCATCATATCATAATCATCATCTCTTGAAATCTCGATGATCATATACAATATTCAATGCTTATCATTGGACATGGTACCTTTTATATAAGGAGGAGAATGTTTCCACCAAATGTTTTTCTTTTTCAAAGACTTGAGTTTGATACCCGGCCGTGGCTAAGATAATCTGAAGATAATTTGCATTGACAGGCGAGGTGAAGTATGGTCAGACAACCCACAGAGCATAGGGCGGCCTTCATCTAGCAGTGGATTGACACAGAGTTGCAAATTTAAATTATATCTGCAGAGTTTTAATGCTTCGATGGCTGCAAACATCTTAATTTACAACGGGAGACCCACATTTTTAGTAACGTTAATCTTTATCCATCGCAGGACATTATGACATTCTGGCATCCAGTTAACATTTTGCAACAAAACTAATTGTATCAACCCTGGAAGGATGATGGGTTGAGTCAACCCTAAACCTGAGTCAAGTTGCCTGCACCCTTGAGCGTGTCCTTTCCACCAGAATCCAAGTTTCGTGGCCGTAGGTCAGGATCGGGACGAATATTGACCGATAGTCCGAGAGCTTTGCCTGAAGGCTCAGCTCCCATCTTGAGACCACCGACAGGTTCGTCGTCCGCATCACTGTGCTCGCCACTCCGATCCGGGGCTTCGATTTCCTTTTCCCCTCTTCCATCCCTCGAGAAATACATCCCCGAGGAACCGGCAGTCTTCGACCTCCTCCACTACTCCCCCGTTAACCCAGAGGGGCTCTGCCACTCTGTTTCCGCGCCACAGCCACGGTCTCGGAGGTGCTGATGTGCATGTCGACCCCCTCGCATTCCGCCGCAAAGCTGTTGATGACTATCTTACATAGTTGTTTTGCATGTATCAAATGCCATTTTTAAATGCCATTTTTTGGAAAGACACTTTCAAAACAGGATATGCAATTGTAATTCGATGGCTGTTATAAGTTCCATTTTATAAGCGACATGCGCGTTAATCTCACGAGTTTCATGCGAAAATGTTGATTTGGATTGCTTTACTATATTTCCATTGTAAATAGCTCTGGTTGTTTATTATGTATTCGTTGTTTGTGAAATGTATTCTTTGTAAACCCTCCAACCTCATTTAACTTTCCTGATACCGTATCAGCTGCTTTGGCTGGGGAGCAGTTGAAAAATAAATTGCTTCTTAGCTCAACGGGCCTTACCCGAAGTCAACTAACAGAAGTTTATATGTCACATACGGAATTGTTTACGTGTGCATATATTACATGCGGATATTTTACACTGCCTTACATATTATTATATTATCTGACAATTAGACGCATTACAAATAGCACAACATGAAACTCAATCTGTTAACGCATACAAGCTATAATACTGACATTTCTCAGTCATATTAAGACACACTTATACGTGTAAAAAAATCAACTGCATTCATTTAAGTAATTTATTTAGCCATTTATTTAATCGAATTACAGGACATTCTGAAATGTAAAACGATATAAATTCGTATTTAAGCGAGCCAGAATGTATGTTAGCGGTTTATGCAATAACCAGCTGAGCCAGTTAGAAGGAAATTCATCATTCAAGTCTCAATACAGTTTTCCGTTAACGGCCGATGTGTAATGTCTGTTGCAGTGTGAACGTCTATAACCCTGTAACACAACACACGAGAGTAGTCATATGTGTGATGAGTTATGGAGCAATTTCGATAATAAAACAAAAATAATCTAAGTGTCTCCATGCTCCAGTGAGTGCTGTACTCATCCAGTGGCACAACAGACGTAGTCATGACATTTCCACATTGATATGGCAGGGACCAGTCTTTCCATAGGAGTCACTGTTGACATAACAGAATGTGACACTCACATTGTGTGCGCTGACGGGTTATGCCACTGATGTCACCACACCTATTCTTTGCCTCCTTCCTTCTGCCAGATCCTGCCACTGTTGCATAGCTGACAAGTAACCCTGAAAGTCTGCTCTTACAGTAGCTCACAAAAAGGCTTTAGGTCTTCATCATCGTGCCACTGCAATGCCCGTTACACAAACATGTCTTCCACCATCCTCATGGCTCTCAACCCATACGGTTTACCCGCATTCTTGCATAGGGAAATTGAGTTTTCGGTTCCACACGGCGTACAGCCGTTCCAATAAGGGCAACAAGAACGTGTTGTGTCCATGTGTTTGTGTTTCTCCCTTGTGATGGGACTTTGTAGGATGAACTTTGAGATTTATAAGGGCACGGGGTGACCAATAAGGTCTGAATTGGTTTGCAATAAGGTAGGCACTGATAAGGGGTTGACAGGTTTGCATGCTGTACACTTATGTTCTCCTGCCTTGTTCTATCCTGAAATTCAACGTAGCTACCCTTAGCCTGCCGTGACATTACAAACGTCATCTGCATGTCGTTGAGAGGTCAGATGTAATTTTTCGAGTAGATGGGCTAAGGTCCAACACTCTGACCTGTACAGTAGCACAGACATTACTCCTAATTCAGACACCTGGCACTTCACAATAAAGTTTTACAATAATAAAACCTCACCGTGCTTAAACAAAACCTCTCCAGTTGTTGCTGACCTTGATGTATTTTTTGTTTAAATGTCACGAGATAAAGGCATTTACATTCCAATCTCGAGCAGTGAGCAGTGCATCAACTGGAGCTGGGAAGGTGTGGTGGGCCGATTCTATCATAGAACCACCGGTTAGGCCGCTCGCTTCCGTGGGCTGCGACGTGTCATTCACCTCCTCACATTATCATCAAAGAGTGTCCAATTCACAGTAATCAAACCAAAAATGTCAGTTCTCAGACCTGGATTGTGACAATTGAAGTGAACCCACCCCCCCCCCCCAAATTTAATGTTTAATATTTTTGTTGTTGTAACATATTTGTTATTCTTTAATGTTACATTTTAATGACATTATTCATGAAGGTGGTTGAAACCATGGACTGGCTACGCCTTGAAAACCCAGCGCAGTGTAGACGCATGTGGCTGGCACCCACGTTTTAAACCCATGATCTCAGCGGTGCTGGTTCAAGTGCTCTCAAACGGTATCAGTCCCCTGTCCCCCCCCCTCCCCCCTTGATCCACCTGGGCACCTCTCTAATCTACTGAACCTCTGGAGGACGAGCCTTTTGGGGGGATTTGCCTTCTCGAGCGCAACCCCAAAACTCTGGAACACCCTGCTTCCCTGCCACAGGACATCCGAAATGCGCCGGGTGTCTCTCAATTCCGTGGTCTGTGCAGGATGCCTCTACTCAGACTTGCCTTCTCTTTACGTGTAAAATGTAAAATAAAATAAAAACCTTACGTTACTTATTATTTATTTAGTATCGTCAAATAATCTTTCTTGTGCTATTTGTTTCGCACGGTTGCATTTAACTTTTTTCATTCCCGTTGCTCCGTGCCCCCCCCCCCCCCCCCCGTACCGTTCTCGTTCTACACCGATGCCTACTTTATTGAGGGCTATATTGGCACGTAAAATAAAGACTGATTGATGGCGAAGTCGCTGCAGTGAACGCGCCCCCTCCAACCAACGATAGGCGTGTAGTGTGTGCAGGACGGCTCGCAAAGGGTTTGCCTTGGGGAGGCTACACGGGCTTGCCGTGCTTGCGGCCTCCCCCCCAACCCCCGCTGAGTTGCACGGGCGCATCGCGGAACGAGATGCGCTGTCTCGGGCGAGACGCTGGGGCTGAACCGCCCGGGGCTGGGACCGGCATGGGGCCCTGAGCCGGCACCCCGGGCCAAGCCTTGTCGCCTGCAGGAGAAGCAGGCACGTGGGGGGGGGGGGGGGGAGACATAGGCACGCACGGGGCAAGGGGTAAGTGTTTGGTTGGGAACGTTGTGCACTTTGTAGAGGATTCGCCGGGCTGGGACGGGCATGGAAACCTGAGTGAATTTAATTGACAAAGTAAACTGATATAAATTTATATGCAGATAGAGTTGAAGATAGATGTATAAGCATGCCTTATATAACCCAGCCAGGTGGTTTAGCAGTAGCGGGTATGACTCACAATTCGAATTCCTGGTTTGTTGGTTCACTCATAATCTGTCTGGGTTTGGAAAAATCTGTACAATTTTGCAAATAAATCACCAATGGCTGTCATATGAAGAGACTCGCCCTCTGCCATAGAAATGTGGAATTTCTCCAACAGGCTCAGGGCTGTAAATGGGAGACCACTACGGCCTCAATTCTCAAATGAGCAGCAAATCACTTCCAACTTTGAATAGTTCTGGTATAAGCAACACACACATCACTGAAGTAATCACTTCTGATACAAGTGCACTTTGCATATAAGCACGCCTGGCCATACTCTCATGGGGTGTGCTTATAACCAGCTAATAGTGTACGTTCTTCAGCGCTGCCATCACTGGGAAAATTAGACCGTGAACTCACTACGCATGCGAATCAAGTTCAATCACAGGTGGCGGCCCAGATTCCGACCGAGGATCCCAGTGGTTCGACCCTTTTGCTCTCACACGGTCATCAGCAGTTAGTTTTAACAGACACTGTTCCACGTTGGTAACTAAACGCCACACGAGCCAAACCTAAATATAAATAATTGGAAGCAAGACAATGCACGTGAAACGTACAAGCCCTTTTCAAAATGCATTTTCGCAGAGCTAAAAATTACGGGCTCAATTCCAAGGTGTGTTAGATTAAATAAAATCGGTCGAAAATATAAACAAAAAATAATGGGAAGAGAATGGTCTCGGCATGTGTTGTGACAAACGCAAGCAAAACAGATTTCGCGTCAATATTTTGATGACAGGAGATATTGGGCAAAGGGCTACATTGTGAAGTGTAGCCTCCAGCAGACTTGGCGAGTGAGGGGCCATACTGAGACCACATGGCAGGGGATGTAATAGCTTGTGCAAGCATTTAGAAGTTGGAAGAGCCAAGGATTCGGGAACGCAGGGCCCATCAGCTCTACGGACCGAAACAGACAAACGGCAATAGCTTTACATGTGCCATAACTAAATACAACCGAGTGGTACCGTGGTTAGAGTGCTTGCCTCAGGGATTTAATCCCATTTCAGTCATCATCCCTGCTTTTGACTTTCCTGTGGTCAACATAATGATAATAATTGAGTCAAATTTGGTAACCGTGCCATTCTTATAGCACAAGGCTATCACCAAGGTGCTGTTTGAAGACACAGTCTGCAGTTATTTCACAGTAGGTGGCGATTATTGCTACGTGTAACCCCAATTAAATAATTTCAGTGCAATTTTTCAGATTTTTAGCAAGTTGAACCGTGATGCTAGCACATAATGGGCTCCTTGTTTTGAATGGCGTCAGGGGGTCTTTAACGTCCACTGTGAAGCAGACGGCGCGTGTGTTATGGTTAATACACACCCGAAGTAATAACCAGGGTGGCCCGCCAGATTCGAACCATGAACCTCTGCAACACTCGGCGAACGCACCACCGTTGGCCACGCTGCCACGACGGAACTGGTCCTCTCCATGGAAATGTGGAATACACATCAAGGGCTCACGGTTGTCAACAAAGATTGAGCGACAATCGATATTGTGTGGTAAAACTTTACCAATGCTTGCATGAAAATAAACGCGACAGGTGAAATATGTTAAAGATTTTTGTCACGTTGAAAAAGCGTTTCTAAAATCCCCGCTTGCAAGCGCGCATTTTCTATGCACAGCAGCCAAACGTCGTCAGTGCTTCAGAACGAGTCCGGAGAGTTGACTGGCGATCGAAATTCCTGGCATAAAAAAATCTGAAAGGCATAACCCTGTTCACAAAAACTTCTGCTTCGATGTCTCGAATATGGCGAAAGATGGCAATGCTACCCTTACCAAAAGGGACTCGGAAAATATTTTGCGATTATTATTTAAGGGTCTTATTTTATTTCCCTAGGAAAGCAAAGCCCGCGGCTGTGAGATGTGTCGTTACTACAGCACATTGCCAAGCTTAGGAGTGCCTCGGAATATAGCGGAAAGGAAATACAAGCGGGGGTTTTCGGTAGGCAACACATGGCGGCGGCTTTGCGAGGCACGTTTGCTCTGTGATGAGCGCGCTGCAACAAGATCCAAACACAATACATCCTCACAATCGCAGCGCGACAAACAAAACTAAACAGACGCCACATCTCATGACATGTAATGCCCCACAGTGTCAGTATTTATTAAGATCATAACCTTCGCCTCGCTATAACTGCGCACACCACGCCGAGTCATAGATGAGGTGGGATGGATTGGAATCCTTTGATGAAAAGTTGTGCGTGTGGTCATCTCCGGGTGGTGCTGCGGTTAGAGCACTCGGCTGGCTATCGGAAGGTCGCGGTCGGGGGGGGGGTCGACTCGGCACAGCATCCCTCCAGGGCCAATAAAATGAGTACCACATTGTCGGAAGTAAACAGTGGCTGTCCTATGTGATAGAATGGCCACACCATAGGAATGCTGAATTTCCACCAATGGGTCAGAGCTGCCAATGGGGGATGAGAAAAGCTCAACGCATTCGTCAATAACGCTGCCCTTAAAGGAAAACTACATACAGCAAAAGCTCTGTTATCCGGCATCCATGGGGAATGGATGGTGCCGGTTAATTAAATAAGCCGGTTATGTGAGAGTTATACTTATGGTTCACTACATTTTCCAAGTACATAATACCTTTCAAGAAAGAAACTAAGTCTATATTTTAACTATGATATCATAAATAATATACTTTTATATAGAGATACCCACCAGTAAGTTGTAGAGCATTCTAAGTTAATTGTAGAGAACCAGTGGGGCCCGTTTAGAGAATAGTATACAGTAGTGCAGTACTGTATGTACTGACTTTCGTAAGCACCACCACTCAGAAACAGAACCACAACTCAGACTCATAATCAGAATCAGACCCACCACTCAGAATCACCATCAGAATCAGACCCACCACTCAGAATCAGAATCAAAATCCTGAAACTCATGTAAACAACAGATCTTTGTGAAGTGCATGGCAAGATGCCGGATGTCTGTCGGAATTTTCCAGATACGTGAAGGAAGATTTGTATTGCTGCCTGTGACAGATGCCGGTTAATGAGAGCATTCCGGATGGTAAAGTGCCAGATAACAGAGCTTTTACTGTATATATATAAAAATGCAACAACTCGGGAAATGGCCCTTTCTTCATACCTGAGATAAGAAGGGCCATTGACAGAAAGTCAACTATTTAATATTTCAGCATTTGAGTCCCTTTAAGGGCAGTGTTATGAATGAATGTGTTGAGTTTGTATGATTATACGTGATTGCGCACCACTCCCAATGCGGCAGGGCAATTGTTTAGGTTTTGTTCAACGATGGAAATGAGCACTGGTCGACGATATTTGGATCAAAGACACCGGCATTGACAAGCTCTATTACATGCACACTTGCACATAAAGCGCGCATGCTTTGTAGCTGCCATTAACAATACATCTCTGTAACAAAAACGTATTCCTCAGGTGCTTTCACACGCACTTATAGTCTCGCGATGTGGAGGTCAAGTTGGTGAATCATGAAAATATGGAACTATCATGTGCAATAAAAACTCACCTTCAGGGTAACGAGGTGCCTGAAATATGCAGTAAAGTAAGTAGGTCCTTATATTGTCTGCGCATACATTTTGATTGTCATCCGGTCATATCCAAGGTTTTATCCAAGTTTCAAATATTAAGGATCTAATGACCCACCGATTAAGATGGATTCCTATGCTTATGGTACACGCGTCAAATGATGTTGGAGCATCATCATTAATATTCATTGATGCACATTCTTAAGAAATCGTTTTCTGCCTTAGATGATCATTTGGAGTGGACAAGACAAAACAAAGAAGACATGTGCGCACACGGGACAATACAAACAAGACTGTAAGTGCGTGAAATACATTACAAACGAGAAAGACAACGCATATGAGAACAATGGCAACGGGATACTTCATACAGCACGTGGCAGAATGATAGACAGGGTGCCGTGTGCCTCCGATTAGCACGGTTGGCTACGGTACGGTGCAAAAGAAGTCCAACAGACATCCGGGAACAATATCAATCGAACAAATGAGACGGACAGTATGTGAACTATGAACGACGCAGCATAGACAGGTTAACTGACATGAACCAGTTGAGATTGGACGGACAGCATCATAGCTCTCAGTGCCTACCCTATATTCTTGGTTCTTTCGGTAAAATCACGTAAATAGAAAACAAAAAATAAAATAAAAATGTTATTTTTAAAAAATATAATAACAATAAAATTAAAATAAATAAAAATAGCAAAAAATTGGCAACACAAGCGGTCTTCTCTCCGCCTGATGAAGACCTTTTACGAGGAATCACGTCTGCATTCACCACAATACTTGAGGTCAAAATGCAAACAAAAAACATACTCTGGTAATATCTGTATTGTTGCCAGATAAAAGGGTAAAAAGCTATTCTCATATTTCGGTACTGGCAAAGGAGGTCCCATGATGATGAAGACCGCTTGTGTTGTCGTGTTTTTTTGTTGTTGCTACTTTTATTTATTCTATTTTTAATTTATATTTGTAATTTCATTTATTATTATTTTTAGATTTTTTTTTTTCTATCTACGTGACTTTACCGAAAGAACCAAGAATATGAATTCCTGCAGTCACGAAAGTTTTAATTCAAAATGCCTACCTTTCTAGATTTAAAGCTTTCGTGACTGCAGACCAATTCAGATCTTATTGGTCACCCTGTGCCCTTATAAATGTGAAAGCTCATCCTACAAAGTCCCACCACAAGGGGGATACACAAACAAATAGACCAAAAAAATGTTGCCCGTATTAAAACGGCTGTACGCGGTATGGGCCTGAAAACTCAATTTGCCTGTACAAGAATACGGGGTAAACCGTATGGGTTAACAGGTATGCAGAATGACTGAGGCAGAGTAAAATCTGGTGAGAAGAAGCACACCCACTGTGAGCAAGGCCAGCTGTGGTTATGTCCGAAGTAGTGTGCTTGTTTCAGAAGTTGCCCTTTCATTTCCCCACCATTGTCATGTAAGCATGTGTTGCTCATATGCAAACTGTTGCTTAGATAAGGTGTGCTTATATACATCATCTACTGTGCTAGGAATGAGGCAGATAGGTATGCACAAGATGGTACAAAACAAGGGATTGGGAATCGGCGACAAAAAAAATGTCAAATGGTGATCCCCGAATCATTAGTTCGTCGAGATTTCAGGTTATTTAGGTGAATTTTATTTTAGATTTCATTTTGGCACATATAAAACCGATTGGGCAATAAACGTTCTCATTAAACTGTGGCAGGAAGGGAAGGGGAAGGACCGTTACAAAGTCGAGAGCAAAACAAATACCCAGTAAGGAACCGGTGAAGCATCCCAAGGCAGGCCAATGGTGAGGCTTTCTTGGGTAAATAAAGAACTGCACAAATGTAGAATGTTTTATTTCCACACAATTTGGCAGAGCGGTGAGAAATCTTAAAAAGCTAAATAAGGATCCCAATGAGTGGAATGTGCATTTGCTTGTTTAGTCAAGTATATATATAAAAAAAATCATTCAATTAGTGGAGTTGTGTCTGGGTCAGAGTTTTTTTTACTTTTCAGCTGCCTTGCAATGCTGGAATGTCACTGCCTATGCCAGAATGTTATCACGCTCTCCGGACCGTTACTCCATTTATTTTTAAACAAGAACATTTGTATGTTAAACTTGGCTTCCAGTAAAATGTGAATGAAACGTGGGGACAACAATAATAATATAACTCTAAGTGTGAAACATTTTTACAGAATGAGGTGGATTTTTTTTCGGTACGAAAAAACAGAGCAATGTTGAGATTTTAAGGAAGTCAAATGTTTTGTTAGACACAATTGAATTGAAAGTAGACGGTTTACTTACAATATTTATTCGGTATGCATACGTTTATTTAAATGGAGCAGTGTTGATGTATTTTACAGAGTATATACTTAGTGGGGGTGATTATGATGATGTTGTGGAATGATGAGGGGTACTAAGTATAGATTATATTCACTGAATAGGAGTGCAAAGTTAATCATTTTAAACATGTGTACATACTGACATAAGCGTATATGGTTATTTGTGTATAAATAAGTCTATAGATGTGTGTGAATGTGTCTATATATATGTGGGGAGCAGTAGTCGTACGGTTAGCGTGCTCCCCTATGAACGCGGCAGCCCGAGTTCGATTCCCGCTCACGGGCTACAACGGTGACAATTATCTGATGTGGAAAGGCTGTATGGGGGGATCCTTGTCTCTATGAGCAGTGGTGCAGTGGTTCGTGCATTGTGCTATAATCTGCTGTGACCTCGCTTTGATTCCTAGCCTCAATTCAGAGCCAGTGGTAAATGGTATCTAAACCTGGCCTGTGGCTTCATTAAGTAGACTCAGCCTTGAATAAAGTGTATCTGGTGCAACGGGATGGTCAATGACATTATTGCGGAGACAAATATTTCTGGGCGTGGTTCTGGCCACATCACCCCTTCATTTTCAATGCTGGCCTTCATAAGTGCTCAATAACAAAACATGTACAGTCAATAGGTGTGGATACAATGGGGATGCTAGTCATATGTAACATACACGATATCTGTACACACATTGCATGAGTGACAGATTTAGCATTTGTTAACTTTCCAAAAGACACTTTTGACAGTTTAGGTCTATATGTTTTACAATTGCCTGTTCAATTAATTAAATTTGTAGACAATGTACATACACATGTTTGCAGATGTATGTTTTAGAAACAGATACGTTATATCTGTATCATAATGTAGTTAAGAGCGCTCGACAAAATTAGTACCGCTTTATTGTAAGTCAACTGTGGTCATCCTATGGTGATACGAGTCACCACCATGTGAATATGGAGTCGGCGACTCAGTGCCACCAACAGATTACACACACACACAACAAAAAAGACCCCCCGTATCGCCTCAACAGACTGTTGGGAAAAGTGCCGGAGCACCTTTACACACACGCACGCGCGCACACAAGCAATTTAAAGCACGCACAGATTTTCACTCAATTCCGTATTTTCCGAATTAAGCCTATCATTCATGATATAAATAACAATTACAAAAAGTTACACCCCCCCCCCCGACCCACCCACCACCCCATCCATCATGGAGCATAAAACAAAACGCTCCTGCCGAACACAGCACCCCAACATCACCGAGAGTTGTGCACGGCCTCCGCTGGAGTAGCTACAAGGCGTCCTCCGTGTGACCCTTGAGGATATAATTGATAGCACATTGCGGGGGGGGGGGGGGGGGTGGGGTGGCTCGGGCTGAACTTGAAGGAAGTTGACGAAATCAACCAGGTCAGCCGGTTCAAAGGTGTAAAAATTCGTGACCTAAGGGAGCCATTTCGGAGGATAAATACGCAGACTGGCCTGAGCGTCTTGCTGTTCAGTAGTGATTTTGTTTTGGGGAGGGGGTGGGCTTGCGATGTGCGTCAAGTGAACATAGCTCATCACGCTCTCGCAGAGAGCTGCTGATGGGTGGCCTACGTTAGTCCAGCAGCTGGGTGGTGCTGCGGTAAGCGAGCTTGACTCGAGTTTAAATCCTGGGTTTACTCGGCCTATCGTCCCTTAAGAGTGGATATAAGTAATACCGTTTCCTTGGAAGTCAATAGTCGTCATGCTGTAAACAGACTTGCCTCAGCATGTGTGTGTCTGTGCATAATTGCAACATTGTTGGCGAATATCTGAACATCACTTTCCATTAACAACACCCATTGTAAGTTGTATTTAAAATGGTTTTGGACCACCCCTAGGTCAACTTAGCCTTACATGAGTACCTGGTACAGTGTGTAAGCACCAGCATTGGGGAGACAAAGGCGGCCATGCATGATGCTAGCCTCTCACACCCCTTTGTGCCGTACCGACCTCAATAGGTGTTCACGAATAGCCCTTGTCCCAACAGTTTGTTAAATGCTATAATGGGGGGATCCTTGTCTTTGTATGGCACACACACACAGACGTAGGCGTCCCAGTGATTTTCACACTGAACCACAATCTTGTTCACTTAATTTAGTTCGTAGCCATGCACAACTTTGGCAGGTCACAATTAATACCTTTCCTGGACCTCCCCTAGGTCAATGTGGCATTAAAATTAGTATCTGGTGTCATGTGTAAGCATGGGCACTCGGTTGAGGAGACATAGAAGGGTCAGGTAAGGTGCCGACAGATTAGACATGCAAGGAAAGAAAGATTCAACGGTGAGAAACGCTTCTTCCGCTCACGACATTTGCATCCAATTGTGAGAATCGATTATTTGAAACGCCTGCAAATTATACGCCAGTGGTATGCGAATGGCCGCCTTTAGCCTGACGTAGCAAACTAAACCGATTAAAAGAGATAAATCGGGATGGCAAAAATGAGACGACAATCATGATCTCAAAACAAGAGGTTTCATGGAATTGGCGTTGGAGGGGGGGGGGGGGGGTGGGTGAATGACTCCGTGCCGACTGGCAACGCTAGCCACTCGTTCGTGCACCGTGCCAGCATTAATCGGCGCTCACATTAACAAACAAATCTCGCTTCGTAGTCGCTATTCTTGCCCGAGGCAGGGGTATCAGATACCGTACTGAGTTCGTGTGTGCAGCAGAATGACGCAGTCAATCCCTACTGCTCCTTGCAAATTGTAATTTTAGCCGCCCATCATTCAATTAAAGTGAAACACTTGCGAATCAACAGTACAAGCACCCTCATCATGGCAATTAATACTTGAGGCATGTGAGGCATAAACAAACATAATGCCTTCATGTTTGACTTAAAGTATCATGTATGTTACCTTGGAATTGTTGTGATGTAGTATACACATGATGGGTATATTGCAGTTGATTTCAGGGAAAACAAGTACATTTGAATTTTTTGTTTGGTTTAATGTTTTGAATTGATAATTGTATTTGTAATTCCTGCAACAACATTTACAGACAAAATCATAGCCAGCGTACACGATATATGCAGGCGACCGGGAAAAATATTTGAAACTATCGGAGCCCCTTGCTGTAATCGAGGAAAAAAAAGAAAAAAAGACAAGCAAGAGAAAGGATAGTGATTTGTCTTACTTGAGAAAACAGCTTGCTTGTATGGGGAATGCAAATAATCAACTTCCACACGTGAATAAATAATTTCGGTGAAGTCACGTAGATAGGTTCAAAGAAAATAACAAAACATCATAGACGTTTCGATCGCAACACAAGCGTTCGTCATCAGGAAGAAGAAAAAGAAGAGGAGAATATAAGTGGGCATTGGTTTCTGAATGTGGGCTGGGCCTGCGCGAGCTGTGAAATAAGTACTCGGCCAGTGTGTGATGACCGTCACCCCAAGGTGGGGAGAAAAATGCAGTTGGCTGTGCCTGCTATCTTTGCCACAGGACCATGTTCTGTACTGTGCCAACCGTAATAGGTTCTAACCGCTACACTACCGCTCACCACAGCACGCGCACACACTCACCCACATAGCCACACAGCCACTCATACACTCTCTAACAGTGCCTTTAGCTGTGGTGGTGGTGGTGGTGGTGACTACACCTACGTGTGGCGTCGGCCGAGAGGTTGCGTCGCGTGGAGAAGCTGCTTTGGCGGAAGCCCCGCGTCCGGCCGGCGCGGGACTGCGAGTGGCTGTGAGCAGAGGGGGCCCTGTACGCTTTGCTGCTGCTGCCGCTGCCCGTCACCGACAGGAGCTCCATGTCCCTGTCTTCACGGCCAATGGAGCTGGCCTGTGCCACAGGGGGACACGGAGAGAGACAGAGCCAACACAGTGAATCGTACCCACAATATGTCAAGCGCAGTCCAACAAGCTTGAGATTTAGAAGTCAACGCGTACAATGCTGCTGATGCCGCCATGCCTCGTCACTACTTCCTTCTACTGGATCCCGGAATTGCTGAAGAGTTGATGCCTGGCTTGACTTCCAAGGTCTGCTGTATGTATGTATGTATGTCGAACTTCTTTCGCACCGTACATGGCCAACCGTGCTAATCGAAGGTGCAGGGGAAGGACAACAAACTAAACACAAAGAGCAGTTCTAAAGAAATGAGTTTTCAATCTAGATTTAAAACTCTAAACCAACCATGCCTTCCGCTCGCTTGCCTACCTCTAGATGCCACGGTCTCGGTAGTCTGCCCTCTTCCATTGGGCACTTATGCCCCACTCATCATTGTAGCTTCCTCTTCTGGAACACAACTACAATGCTTCCTTGCGACGTTCTATTGCAAACGCTGGTGTTGCTTACTCTAAATTATCTGGGTTTCCCAACAACAGCAGTTGTTTTATTACTGCAAAATAGTTAGATGATCTGAGGTTTGGCTACACACCTTGTTGCTTTACAACTATATTATTTTTGATTTATATTATTATTATTTGTACTGGCACTTGACATGGAAGTTGCATCTCAATGGTGATATTGGCATCCAAGTGCAGTTGTGGCTCGGTATTCTGACGTGGGCAAGGAAAAGTGTTTACGTAAAAACACCAGACCATCTCCATGATGCTTAGAGCCAGTGTTACAAGTGCTGTAATGCATTACCAACAGCACGTGCTGGTACACATGCACATCAGATGGAAGCAACTTAACGGGTATCTGGCATTTACACGATTACTTTACATTTAGATGTTTAAAATAAATCCAAACATTTTTACATTTTTAAAATAAATCCCAAGGGGGGGTGAAGTTATCACATTGGCAGCTCGGGCCAATGTGAAGGCAGCAGCAGCAGCCAATACAAATTACAGTTCAACACCTACAATCACAGCACATGTACAGCACATTGGGTCAATCCACTGCTGGATGACGTCCTCCCCAATGCCTTGCAGTCAGTGAGGGTCATTTGGCCACATTTTACCATGCCGGTCCATCCCTGGTTGGTGAAGGAAGGGAGCTTTGAAGTATGAGCATATTAAAGCACAACAATGGATATTGCTGTGTTTCCCTCTACTGCCCACAAGGCCTACTGCACGTCTATTGCCCATGGTGGTCACCAATCCTAGTGCTACCCAGTCACAACCCTGCTTAGTTTCCAAGGTCTGATGCATTCCAGGTGATTTGGTTAAAGGCAAGATATATTCTTAGCTCTTTCGGTAAAGTCACGTTGAAGGGAAACAATAAAATAAATATAAAACAATAAAAATTCTCACGACGTTTCGACCATAACACAAACGGTCATCATCAGGTGTGAAAAGCAACGTCGTGAGAATTTTTATTGTTTTATATATATTTTATCATTTTATTGTTTCCCTTCAACGTGACTTTACCCAAAGAGCTAAGAATATGAATTACTGCAGTCACGAAAGCTTAAAATCAAAATTTAAAGGCACGATAGTTTAGTTTTAATAATTTGTTGCGACCGTAAATCGATCGTTCAGAGTGTCAGTTTGAGAGTACCAAACGCGGGATTACGCAATACCTCAAGTAGTCAGGGAGAGACTCGTGTTCAAAAACGTCACGCTCGCACCGCCTTCCACGGATGTGTTTTGCAGGCCGTGTACCCATAGTGCTGGCCACAAATAAACCACAACACCTTGCTGATCTCGTCAAGGAGCATATACCATCGCACAAAATCTGTTAATCCTCGCAGCGGCTTTTGGCTAGCGCCATCGAACAAAGATGGTCACATTGCATCGCGCGCTGCCATACGCACTTCTGCACCAACTGGAACGCTCTTCCTTCGAATATTAGGAAGCCGTTGGAGCTATGCACTTTTAAACCTAAATTGAAAACCAATTTCCTTAAAACTGCTTTTCATGTTTAGTACGTTGTCCTTCCCCAACACTTCCAATTAGCATGGTCGGCTAGGTACGGTGTGAAAGAAGTTCAACATACATACACACACACACACGGCTGGCCAGCTCGTGCAAGCTACATTCTATTTAGTGCAGGGCTGCACGACAAATTCAAACGGACAACCAATTAACATTGAAAGGCATAAGGAGAATTGTTTGACAGGAGTATAATCCGCCTGCCGCAAAAACAAACACGACTGCCCGCAACTCTGTGTATGATGCCTGCTCTGCTGTTTATTTTTTCGACCGCCCCTTATTGATGACAAGAAGCCCTAAAGTGGCGTCTTTAGCCTTTGTTTTGTCCGCGAGAGTGCAAGGAGAAGGGGAGCCTGCAGAGGTGGAAAGGCGACGGGATTGGGACGGGGGAATTAGCCGCCCGCTCAGCGGGCGGGTGGCGCATCACCGCCGACTCGGCTTACCACCAGCTGCACACGACCGCCGCTCAGAACGTCCGCGTCCATGTCGGGCAAAAAGCGCGATTCCCTGTGAGACAACACGAAGCAGCAGAGTTGTTGAGTTGAGCATAGCAACTGCACCCGACTGCACTGCCCGGGTTACGGTAAAACCACAGGGCAACTGGAAAAACGTGCAAATCGATAATGTTGTGTATGATGATCAAAAATGCCCCCCAAACGGTAAAATTGTGCCATCGAAGTCATGCCATGGGACAAATACATCTTTCAAGGCAAGCAGTGCAACTTTACACTCTGCCAGACAGTTGTCCTGATAAAATTGAGTCATAGGCATCACACATATACCTTTGGAGTGCCTTTAATTGTGCTCTTATGAACACTGAATGACACGGATTTCTTGTATATACAGCCGAGGCAGAGACCATCAACTCACGAGATTGAGAACCAAAATTAAGCATGAGCAGTGTCAGTTCAGTGCTCGAACATGGTACTCGTCTAATGAGCCAACTCAGCCACCTCTGGAATAGATCACAATGAAGCTCACAGTACAACATCCTCCTTCTGCTCATCATCATTATCATCTCTGTATGCCAGGATAACTATGGTCTGTGCCAAATCACGCAGAATATGTTCCTTACTGATCAGAACTCAGAGGTTATGCAGGCTTTAGGCTGGTTAGTTCTTGGATGGGACACTGCCAGGAATACCAGGTGTTATAGGCTTGCTCGACAAGGTGGCTAAGAGATGGCAGTATATCTATGGATTCTTGAATCAATCTGTGTTCCACATTAAATACCCTGGTTATGACCCACATGCCAGACACTCATTAATGGAATTATCCCAAACCTCATCTCAATTCAGGACATTCCTTAGAAAAAAAAGTGTTGAGATTCAGTAAGTTTTTTCTTGGACATATAAAGGGCATCATGTATTAAGTAATTGGAGTTGGTGAATCATGCAGAGATGGACGCAGTGCAATCACCCTTGATCGGTTCACATTCTGATGTGTGCATGCTCGGTTGGATCATGCGATCCAATGTTTGTTTCTTTTCATACAAAAACTGAATCAGATCTGATACTAAACAAAATTGAACACATACCAGAAACGTACATCAATATGTTCTAGACGTGGTTATTTGTTGACACAGTTAACTTTGCTTTTTCCAACACTTTGGCGATGAAATAATTAAATAAACACCGAACGCGATTGCACGACTCCCAGGAAACGCTTTCCTCTCCAACACATCCAAAATCCCACAAACGTTACGGGGGGGGGGGGGGGGATCGGAGAGAATGGTTGAAGGTGTTATCCGTGCTCCGCTGAAACCCGCTTGCTTGAGAGGATTGGCAACATCCGGGGTGGGGGTGGGAGAGGCACAAACGTTCGGGGCTCAAAACAAACAACGGTGCTGCGACGAAGGCGTTGCACACCCTTTTGCGGAGTGTGTGTTGGTCACCCCACGGTCGCCTGCCTGTGTGTGCAGCCACTTGTACACGTGATCAATCTTCTGCTCGTTCACATCCACCACCGGCGAGCCTCGTCCCGACAAACGCTCCTCCTCTTGGGCTGAAACACGGGCACGCACGGCAGTTACGAACGGAGAGTTACAGGCAACGGATAATTATCGCACCTCCGATTAGCGTGGTTGGCTACGTACATGCGAAAGAAGTTCAACATGCATACACTGTATACGTGGAAAATTATGCCTTTTTTTAAAGTGTAAACATTTTCTCTGAGTCTCAACATTCTATCTTATTAGTGTCATGCACGAGATGTTTGTAAAAAATAATTCTGTTTATTTACAGGAGGAAACAGAGTGCCTGGAAATCGATGCACAGATAGTTTAAAGTCTACTCTATATCATTCCTCCTACATATATATATCTCATGGCCCCTTATGCGAGTATCACACAGTGGCATACCCCTGCCACCAATGTGCTGGAAAACAATTTCAACCCAGCCAGGTGGCCCCGGTAGTTAGAAAACTAGGTGCAAATCTTGGTCAGGAACGCACTCAGCCTATCATCCCTCGTACGTTGATAAAATAGTTACCAATTTGTAGGCAAATAGTTGCCTGAGCGACCACTGCCATAGAAATGTGGAATCTGTATCACTGGCTCATGTAAGCATCCTCCCATGCTCATTTGAGCAGGAATACAGTTTGACTTTTTACTTATTTTTCCTGCATCATCGTCATCTAGCACTTGCCAACAGTGGTTGTTCAATGAGAATGATGATGAGGACATTGCATTCATGTGCATGTACAGCCCGTTGATAAACCCCAATGCCGGAGAGAGGGCTCTCCCAGCCTGTGGGGGCTGTACTGGTTATTTGACCATACTTAACCACGCTTGTAAGTGCAGGTCGGTGAAGGCGATGACACTGCAGGTGAAAACTATTTAAATGAAGTATGCATCGCTTCCCATTGGATCACAATGAAATCGCTCTTCATCAGGTGTCAGCTGCGGCTTAAGGACGTGAACGTAAACATGAAGTCAGCTTGATCGCAGTGTTGTGGAAATAGTAGCTGTCCACTAAACCCACACAGGTCTGTGCTTTGTTGTCTCCAAGTAGATTATTGCTAAGTGATGAGATGACATGCAGTGGTATAAGATGTATTGAAGCATCATTTTGGGACTGACATAACCAGCTATGCTGCGCTGTCATGTAATAATAAACAGCTACCAGGTAGAAATTCGTAGTGATTTACGGTGCAAATGAGTGGTGTTGATTTGATTTAGAGGAGAGGCGATGACAACCTGGAGAATTTTATGGGGGAAAAGAAAACACTTTTTTTTTGCAGACACACATTCACACGTGTGTTTGCACCATGCATGTTGACAATTCACGGTGCTTGTCAATTCAATTAACTTTGAATTCCTTTATTTGACTATTGTGATTCATTATACGTGTTTCAGTGGAGACTTCTGAAAGGACATCGTTAAGATGTCAAATTCAGCTGTCGATAAAGTCTACCATTTCAGCACACAATGATCTATACATTTTACTTTTATTTTTTACAATTCTATTCCCAGTGCACTGTTATGTCATGTCATGAGACAAAGCAGCTATTGGGCAATCTCACGGAGCAGTGTGAGTCCTTGTGTTTGAGAAGAGTTGTGCAAGAGATTCTAACAGAACTTCCTTTGAAAAACCCTGCCCTTTTTACTTTCATACAAATCGGGGGCACACTTTGAGATTGGTGTTTGTTGCATGACAGTGAAACAAACCTATGTGAGCATTCTTAGAACACGAATTCAGCCACACTGTCACCGTCATTATCATTGTGGTCAATACACCGCTGAATGAAGGGCTTCCCACGCCACCGCCACTACTCACTGTCCTAAGATAATAATCCACCTAGCACCCGCACTCAAACTGATTTCATAACTCCCTCTGCTAGGTAGACGTCCTCTCAGAGACATTTGATTGATCGGTTTAGGTTCCTTGGCTTGCATTTTTCAAGTGAAACAACTCAATGTGAATACAATATTTTGGTATGTAATAATGGGTTAGTGGACCATCGACTTACTATATTTAAGAACCCAGTTTGAAACTCGTATTGATTGTCGGTGCTCTGACCCTGAGCCATCCGTAGAATGGCCAACTCTTATGAATGATGAAAGCTCACATGACCACAAACAATGTATTTCCATGACTTAGCTATACACAGTCACAACTCAGGCCTTCACTTTCTTTCCTACTCAATGAACAATTGCACAATTCTCATTAGTTTCTGCCCATGCATCTTAAACTTCACACAAGCACGCAACAGCTACAAGAAATCGGCGAAGCTTATGCACGTTATTTTTATGCCAATACTTGTGAAACCCAGTTAGTGAAGTCACCAGTAATTGCAAGACAGAATCAGTAACGTATCAAAGTTGATATGAACGATCATGCGACTGAACTCACATGTTGTGCCTGTTTGGCAGATACAAATACAGATTATAGGCATTTTTGCCTGCAGTGAAAACATGGAAATCAATCCGCATAAGAAAATGTACTAATATGATCATCCTTGCAAGCTACATAAGAAACCTACATACGCTAAATAGACTAACACAAATATGATGGACAAATAATGAGCCTAAACTGAATCCATGAAAGAAATTAACTTTACCAGCAATTATGATGTATTCATAGATGACGCCTATGCTGCATTTTTTTTTATTAATTCAAAGTTGCTTGGAAGTGGCTCATACATTTTTCTTGTGCTTGTATATGCAGAATTGCATGCACAATTTGTCAGCTGAAAGCACATTCTTTTTTGGAGTAATACAATAAGTAAAAACTTTAGAACAAGGCAGATCTTGGAAAGTATTTCAATAAAAACGCGTATATATGTGAAACTTAAATCTGTGTGAAAGTTTATTCCCGATGAAAAGAATGAATATTCACTGACAAATGCAATTCCATTTGACTGTCAGAATGCTAAAAGACAATGACATGTTATAGCAGACCTTATACCTTGAGGGTTACAAATGCATTATAATGCATGCTGTTAAATGATTACAACAAATACATTTCAATTCCATGTCAAAACATTTAGCCTGACCAGGTGTCACTGTGGTCAGAATGCCTGACTCACAATCAGAAGCTTGTGAGTTAAGTTCCGGTTGGAGGCCCATAATCCCTTTCATGATCAATAAAATAAGCACTACTTTGTGGGAAGTCAATTGTGGTTATATAATAAACAGACTGAGCTCTGCCGTGGGAATGTGAAATTTCCACCTCTGACTCGGGGCCACCAATGGAGCTGAGCACCGCTCCGTGCTGGCGATTTCTGCAGGGAGGGCACTCTTTATTAACTACTCCGTTCCCATCAAGCCGATCTGGCCACACGCGGGGACAAGAGATCTTGCTCAAGGTGCACCTCGAGTGGAAGCTTCAAATAACTAAAGCCTATTTGTGGAAATAATCCGGCGACATTCAATGTGAGCGTCACGCCAATTGCTTCTTATAATGCAGATAGCACGGCGGCAGAGCCAACGGCCAGCCTGCAAAAGAAACAAACACGAACGTGCCCATCCTTATTCGGCCAGAGTCGAGTGTCGCTCAGACATCCAACAACAAAGCCTCTGCTGCTATAACCCGAGTCAGAAATATTTCCTCAGATCTGAGAAGCGCAGGCACATGAAAAGGCCAAGAAGCATAATATCAGGAAGCGAGTTTCCAAAACAGCTCGGGGCTTGTGTGGGCTTTGGTTCCCTGGATAAATAATCACGGCCCCATCGGTCGCACGAGCGTGGGCTAAATCTGGCCCATGATCTCCTCCCTGGCATGTGGGGCTGATGCCTTGCCTGGGGAGGTTGCCTTAGGGAGGAGTAAAGAGTGGGCAAAGGGGGTGGGAGCAGGGTTGGATTGGCGGTCCTGCATTAGAGGTGCATTATGGAGAAACACATGTAGTATCAAATTATTCAGGGCGCCCGGTAAAAGGGGTCGGTACAGTGCAGCGTGCAGAACTGAGAAGGGAGAAAAGAAAACGAATAACAGCGGCGGCCTGCAGCTGGTATCCATCACACTAAGGACTGCCCTCCTACTAGTACGTGTATTCACTGAGCATCAACTTGACTGAATCCATGCTAAGCCACATTAAGGAGTCGTATTATTTTCGCTGCTCGTGATTTATTAAGGGGTCAGCTTAGCCCTGTGAATTTCACGCGGGGCGCGAGCGCGCGCGCGCTCGAGAAGACGGCCGTGATGAATGTTTACCCGCATCGCGCGGCGCTGACAGCTGTTTGACGGAGCGTCGTTTAAGCCGCCGTGTTAAAGCTACGCATCTCCACGCTGCCAGGCCACGCACAAACGGCAAACGGTAGGCGTTGTGAAGTTAAATTGGAAGGCTTGCTATTACGTCACCAATGAAAGCCAAGTTAAGTGGCAGTGTCTCCGAGTGTTGGGGAATAGCCACGTCCATTCATAGCCATTGGTGGAAATCCCTCTACAGTAATCGGGCGTATTAACAAGAGACCCCCCCTCCCCTCCCCAATCAAGATTTGAGCTCGCAACTTTCCAATTGCGTGTTCAGTGGCTGTAAGGATAGTGTCACACGGATGCAATGTCAGCAAAAAGACAGTGGCTGGTGGCTTGGGGGATAATACTTCTGTTAGCCACCTGGTTCCCAGGTGTAGTGAGTTAACGTTTTCAGTCTGATCATCATGATTAAGCAAGTTCTAACTGGGGACTAAACATTTTGTTCTGTCACACAATAAAACTACACAAAGAGCATAAGGGCTCACCACCTGGTGTTGCATATGGGGAAAAAAAATGACTTTGGTAGTTGTGTTGTAAAGTTATCTTCTGGGGCCATTCTCTGGCATTAGTTGATGAAGTGGCAGCTGTGAACGGAAATGTTTTGACCTCACGACACGAGGCCAGCAAAGTAAGAATTAAAAAAACAGTTAAAAATACAATTTTAATTGTGCAGTTGATATTAACATTATGCATTTGGGTTTTGATTACCAGCACGCTGTCCTACCAGAAAGTCTCATCCCTTCACCTGATGAAGGCCGCTTGTGTTGTGGCCGAAACGTCGTGAGAATATTATTGTGTTATTTTATTTTA